TCTCTCTCTGTCAAATAAATACATAAAATCTTTAAAAAAATATATTAATTTAGTCACTGATAAAGGCTCTTCAGAAGGATTATCAAAGGACCCAAGTTTTAGCTGTTTGCAACTTTTACATGGTTAGCAAGAGAATTAAGTCTTTTGAAAGGGGCGATTTCATGTTTCCTTCATAAGGTCTTCAAATTTTGATGTCAATGGCCAATCCTAGAATTACTTACTAAGATTACATTAACTTTCCTTACACAGGACTCTACTACAGGCTTGAAAATAGTTATCTGAGAGACATAATTTTGCTAGCATTCAGTAAAAACTCATTCAGCATTATGCTGTGTTCTATAAACTGGCACTTAGTATAAAAATTTAATACAATTTGAATAGGAAAAATAAGTTTATTCTCAGATGATAAATAAAAAACTTACACCATGAATATGCTGATATTATGTCCTCCTCACTTTCTGAAAGTGTATTCACTCTACTTTCACCAAATGTTTTGACTCAAGCTTAAGACATGTATCTAGTAACTGCCTTCTTTGCTGAACTCATACTTACTCAACAATTGTCTTTTTCTTTCGAGAATGCTACTTCTGAGTAGCAATGATGAGGGGAGATGACCAAAAAGCCCCAGAACAACCAGTTAAAAGGCCCAGAATTCTTATTCATATCCAGAAGGATGAGGTGTACATCAAATGAACTAGTTCAGCATACCGAGCAATATATGTGAAAAATTCGCATACTTCTGTGTATAACCACATGGTATCTAAAGTTTTAGCAGACGGTTTTTCTTGGCTAAGCCCGTAAGTAACATATACATGCCTGGTCCTAAGAATGTTTTAATAAGATTGAAAAGATTAGTTTCTTCAAAAGACCACTGCATTTCACCTCAGCACTCTAAAATAAAAGCTGGAATTAGATAAAAAAAATTTTTTAAAAATCTGTGATTTCTTTGAAATTCCATCCACATTCCATCTATAGTAGGCACATATATTCCAAACAACAAAGCTATAAAGGTCTGCCCACTGTGGTCTAAACAGGTCATCCCTTGATCCGAACTAAAAATATAAGAGATTTTAAGAGTAAATAACATCTACCTATTTCAGCTTAGCAAATGCTGGTCACTTCTGGGATAGGATGGGGTGGAGTGGTGTGGGGTTGGGGAGGAAGAGAGAGGAGGTTGATGGAAAAGGAGAAACAGACTACAGCAACATGGTGAGAATGCTACTTGGGGATTAAAATGACATTTTTTGCCTTATACCCATAAATATATCATTAGTTTTATATTAGGTATCTTACCACTTCATGCTATTGGATCACTAAATAATATAAAACCAAGAAACAAACAAATATTAGGAGCACTTTTGAAAAATAAACTAGAGCTAGGACTCTGGCAACTCCCTGATGTATTTTAACTAACAACTCAGAACGGATACAAAACCACACAAAACAGGGTACCATATGAACAACTGATCATTTTTGGACTATTCTCTTGTTTTGGGCCAGTGGCCAAATAAAGTGAAGACCAGTATGAAAGTAGGGCCACTCCCATCTACTATCAGTGTTTAGTGATTTGGGGCAAATGCTCAAAATGCTGAAAGAACCCAAGTGTGGTTATGAAAATGTGACTTGCAGAATGTATAAAGACACAAATCAATAAATGAATCAATCAGAACTGTTTCCTGAGTACTTACTAGGTAGGCAGAATTGTGTGACACACTATTTGAAAGTTCATGCTCTACCGGCTGCCGCCTCGCGGTTTAAAATGTCATTTTGAAAGATACAAATTAGATGGGAACCCTCCCCCCCCGCCAAAAAAAGGACTCTTCCCCAACCTAATCCTTACCCTAATTGTTCCTGGATCAAGTTGCACCTATTTTCTAGGGCAGCGTGAACTCTTCCGACAGGGTTAGAGGATTGCTATGCGGAAGGCGAAAGGATACGTTCCAGCTTGAGTCTTCAGATAGAGGTGGAAATGATGTTCATCCACATAGCATGTCTCCATGGAGTGAATGATGCGAGTTCTCACAGCCAGGGGCCTCCGGTGAAGGACCCGCAGAGGTGTTTTCTGGTCGATCTTTAAGTCCTAGAGGAGGATGTGTTACACAACCATGGAGTCAGCTTTGCTGTGCAGGAAGCCTGTCTCAACACCTCCTCTGTCATCCATGGCCCACCACAGATGTTTTCTTCGGAGGACTCATCTATCACTGTCAGGGTAGATACTAATACTATAATAAATTGTATTCCCTAAGGTTCAGGCTCTGTGGAACTTTTCATAACCTCGTCCACAGTTACTCACTTACTGGGCCCCAGTATGCCATTTTTAAAAAAGGCTTTGAAGTAAATGATCCCCAAGGTCTCTTTTGCTCTAACATTTAATCAATTAATTGAATTGAGCAGGACCCTGGAGTTCTAGTCTGTTCTTTACTTTAACAGAGCTCTTCTAGAAGACCTATTCTTACCCACCCACCCCCACCCCCCGGCAACCCAACAGATGACCTAACAGAGCTGAGGTGAGAAATGGCTATTTGTAGAGGGTGAGACCTCAGCATCACTGGTGTGTACGGGCAGTGTGCATGTTTTAAGGACAACCAAACACCTGCATACAAGGTTATTTTGTTGTTGTATGAAAAGATATATCTGGAAAATTAACAGTTGCATCACTGTTCAGGGTAGTGTTTCAATATAATAATTACAAAGAAGTGTGTGTAATAAACCAGGACCTCTCAGTATTTGTAAGCCCAGTTCAAATTACTTGAGAATAATAATACTGCATGCCTTTTTTACAATTCAGGTTTTTTTTAGGGGCACGGGCTTGTTTTTCTTATAATTAGAGATTTCCTTTTGTCACAAGATATAAATCAAGAAATAGAGATTAATATTGTAGAAGGTCAACTAATTCCAAGTTTTAAAAATAGATATTGGGCATAATGAGAAATGTAGGTTCTTAAGAACTTTGAATCTTCTGCCATTTCTTGTTGGAACAACTCCTTCCTAATGTACATGATTTGGGAGTGCCTGAAGCCATGCTAAGAAGAGAAGGATTTCTGTCTGGTCTCCCCTCTATCAAATTTTCCACCAAGAAAGAAAGAGCAAGTTCTGACAAAGACTATACTGGAAATGGTATGACTGTTTTGATCATAGCAGTGAGTCAATGGCCCCTCCTAATTCATGGGTTTTATGATTCTCTAATGCTTTGATTTTAGAAGCACTTTGTTCTGCTGAGATAGGCTGTCTCCATAAGGTTTGACATTTCTCCGGCCAAAAAGACAAAAAAAGGACAAGGCTGAACTGTTAAGGAATCTGTACAGATATGGCCTCCACTGTAGAATACAGAAATAGCTGGCTTCAAATGAATGACCAAGGAGTGCTCTTCTCCCTGTTTCCTTTCTTGCTACTCACTCCCAGGACTGCAAACCATGAACTAGTCAATGGAAGTACTAACTGATCTGGTAGACCCACCACTGGACTTCCAACATAACGCTTGATCACCACACACTCCTGTGTGTGTTTTGTGTCTGCTTGCTTTCAGTAGACAAAAGGAAACCATTTACTCTAACAACGCACTCTGCTGGCCCCATTCTGCTGAATTTTCAGAAACACATATACATATACACAAACGGTTTTTTTTTCCTTAGAAGTAGGTTGCCCTTAAAAAAGAAGAGACACATAGTAAATTTGAAGTGACTGTTTCTCAAAATGGGACAGTAACTCAGTTTTTGTATTTTTGATGACAATAGGAATATTTGAAAATAGTCTTAACCTAACACAAAAAATTATTAGAAGTCAGATAGTCCCATCAGTCTATTTGGGCTGTGAACCATTAAAAGAGACCCTTTCACTGCTTACTCTGTACCTCCAAAAATCATCTTTCAGCATTATTCAGCATTATTTCTGAATTAGCTCTGAATATAGCTACCTCCAGATGATAAATCTATTTTTTTTTAAGTAGGCTCCACACCCAATGTGGGGCTTGACCTCATGACCCCAAGATCAAGAGTCACATGCTCTACCAACTGAGCCATCCAGGTGCCCCTGAATCTATTTTTAAAATGAGTTAATTTTCCCCCCAGCATTCTGAATGACTTGTACACCTGATGGAAAAGAGGTTTAGAAATTTGTTTTGCGGGGCGCCTGGGTGGCTCAGTCGTCAAGCGTCTGCCTTCAGCTCAGGTCATGATCTCAGGGTCCTGGGATTGAGCCCCGCATCAGGCCCCCTGCTTGGCGGGAAGCCTGCTTCTCTCTCTCCCACTCCCCCTGCTTGTGTTCCCTCTCTTGCTGTGTCTCTCTCTGTCAAATAAATAAAGTCTTTTAAAAAAATTTTTTGTTTTGTAATCTTAAAGATATCTGTCTAGAGTTAAACTATCATCCTAAAAGCCCCAGATAATGGGCCAAAAGCCAATAGCTTTTGATACAAAATCACAGAACCTGAAACCTGGAGGCCCTCTGGGGGTGATCTAGTCCACCCCCAGGGTTAGAGATGAACTTGTCTAAGCCGGTGAATTACTCCTATGCTTTCACCAAGACACTTACACTATAAACATGATTCTGCACTTCACTTTCTTTCTCATAACGTCATGGGTATTTCTGTAAGTCATAGCTGTAGGCCTACCTCTATCCTTTTTTCCAACAATTTTAGGTATATATACATACAATAACATAAATTAAATGGGATCACATGCTGTTTTAGTTTTTTTTTTAAAATAGCTTTATAAGATACCAGCTTGTTCTTCCCTTTCCTTTTTGAAGGAAATTCACTTTGTTCCTAGTTGTGCTGTTGATTTTGCCGCTTTGAATAAAGTAAACATCTTTGTGCACATATACTTATGCAATGGAGTTTTATTTCTTCCGGATAGATTACCAGTAGTAAAAGTGTTGGGTAGAAGACCAGTATATTTTTAAAGTCATCATTACGTTGTTTTCCAAAAAGGCTAAATACTTTATATTTCTACTGACAAAGTATGCAACTAGCTTTCTCCTCCATGCCACCCAGTAGGTGTTACTAGTCTCAGAGGACTAAAGTGAGGTCTTATTGTTACTTCAATCCAGAAGTGGAACATCTATTCAGATGATTCTTGGCCATTTGGGGTTGCTCGTTTTCAGCTTATTCATATCCTTTGTCTATTCTTCATAAGTATAAATCCTATTTATGGTATCTTTTGCCATACAATTTGTTTTCTACATAGTCATATATATGTGTATACACAAACACACACTTGTGTGTGTGTTTAAATCACAATGTATCCCCCTCTATATACTCTTTATAGCTTGTTTTCTTCCCCCTTAGCATCTATCAGGAACATTTTCCTTTGTTAATAAATAGTCACCTACTACATAATTTCTAACAACTGGCTAGCAATAGCTCATTATACAGATAAACGGTAAGATTAAGCCATTCTCCTCTTGTAGGTCATCTAAATTATTACAAAATATTGCCCATTTAAATGATGTTGTGATGACTGTACACATCTCTGTGCCCATTTATGCTCATTCCTTACATTTGAGAGTAAATTATCGTTACAGGAAGAGTCAGGGACAGGTGGGAAGAAATATGCAAATGAATAGGCAGACCCTCTACAGTGATATGCTCATGTGAAGGAAAATCCAGCACGTGCCAAAATATTTGTGCTGTACATATACTATCCTTCTTAAAAATTTATAATATGTTTTATTTATGCACTTAATCTTAGCATCAGTCCTATTAGGTCAATTCTATTTTGTATTTCCTTTCTACATATGGCCAAATGTAATAATAGCATTGCTGAGGTTTTCTATGTGCCAGATACTGTTCTAAGTGCTTGATATGACTAAACTCATTTCATTATTCTAACTAATTTTATAGATGAAAAAACTGAAGCATAAAGAGGATAAGCAACTTGTCCAAAGTCACACAACTATGAAAGGCAGATCCAGGATTTGCATCCAAGAAATCTGTGCCCAGAGGCAGGCTCTTCATCACTAGCAATGCTGTCTCTCAAACAGGCTCGATGAAATGCCCAGTCATTCAACCAGCAAATGGCAAAGCCAGGATTTGAAAGCAGGTCTCACATTCCCCAAAGCCCATGCTCTATGAGTTGCTAGTAATAAACTAAAAGTGAAAGGACTCTTTTATAGGCAATCGAAAAATAAAATAAAAAGAGTTAGAGCACTTAGCTACCTTTATGCCATTTAGGAATTCAATGTCTTTCTTCTGTATGGCTTTATTTGTCCATATTAAGGCACTATAGGACTTGGTCTTTTCTTCTTCGCCTTCTTTCATATGTCCTATTGCCTCTCTAAACAAAAACAATAAAAGCAAGTTTATCTAAATACACAGAATACACACAAGCCTTGCCCCAAACTTCCCTTTCTTTAAAAATAGCTTTATTCAGATAAAATTTATATACAATTCCCATTTTAATTGTACGATTCAGTGATTTCTAGCATGTTTACAGAGTTGTGTGGCTATGACCACAATCTAATTTTAGAATACTTCATCATCCCAAAAAAGAAACTCCATACCTATTTGCAGTCACTTCCCATGCCCTGTTTCCCCCAGCCTTTGGCACCATTAATTGACTTTCTATCTCTACAGATTTCCCTACTCTGAATATTTCATATAAAATAGAATCATACAATATGTGGTGTGTGGTCTCTGGCTTCTTTCACTTCATGTTTTCAAGGTTCATCCATGTTGGAGCATATATCAGTCAGTACTTTTTTCCTTTTTATTACTGAATAATATTCCATTGTATGGAGATACCATATATTATCCGTGGACATTTGGGTTGTTTCTACTTTTTTTGGTATTATGAATAATGCTACTTTGAACATTCATGTAGAAGTCTTTGTGTGGATGTACACTTTCATTTCTCTTGGGTATATATCTAGAAGTGGTATTGCTGGGTCATAATGGTAACTCTATGTTTAACCTTCTGAGAAATTACCGAACTGTCTTTCAAAGTGGCCACGCTTACAATCCCACAGCAATATATGAGGGTTCCGATTTCTCCACATCTTTGCCAACATTTGTTTTTTTCTGTCTTTTTGATTATAGCCATCCTAGTGAGGGTACAGTGAGCTATCACTGAGGTTTTGATTTGTCCTTCCCCAATGGCAAATGATACTGAGCATTTTTTTCATGTATTCATTAATTGTATGTCCTCTTCGGAGAAATGTCCACTTAATCATCTCCTTCATTTTTAATTGGGTTGTTTTCTTATTATTGAGTTGTAAGAGTTCTTTATATATTCTGGATACAATTCCCTTAACAGATAAATGATCTAGGGCGCCTGGGTGGCTTAGTCGTTAAGCGTCTGCCTTCGGCTCAGGTCATGATCCCAGGGTCCTGGGATCGAGTCCCACATCGGGCTCCCTGCTTGGCAAGAAGCCTGCTTCTCCCTCTCCCATTCCCCCTGCTTGTGTTCCTGCTCTCGCTGTCTCTCTCTCTGTCAAATAAATAAATAAAATCTTTAAAAACAAACAAACAAACAAACAAAAAACAGATAAATGATCTACAACCAAAACTTCCCTTTTGAGATCAGCTCCAGGGAGTCCACCCTTACCTTGTGACAAGCTGCAAGTCACGGACTTGGATTTTGTTAGATGAATTATTAATTTTCTGTAGTAGCAGAAAAGGAAAAACAATTAGCAATTCTAGTTCGGTTATAGAGCTGCAGAAACATGACAATTTCCATGTCATGAAGTGGTTTACCTGCTGAAGTTCCTTAATTTCTTGTGAAGTGAAATGTACTCTATGAGGATTCACCAGCTCAATTGCAAAGGGCCTTCCTGGCAGCACACACCCGTCATGAAACAGAAACGTGTTGATGGAGTTAACATTTGGGCTAATGCAAGAGGGTTAGGAGGTGTGAAAAAATGAGTTGAGCTCTAGAGGACTGAAAGTTTAGTGACATGACTACATCTGGGAGAGGGAAGGATGTGTGAAAGAATCAAGGGGCTTTTTGGGGGCTGCTAAACCCCAGTACAGGCAATATGTGAAAATGACTGTTTTCCCAAAGGTCCATGAACAAGACTGTGTTAATTACAAAATAAAATCCAAACAACCGCTAATTGACCTGATTACACTAAGGTAACGTTATCACACATGGCAATGCCCAGGTATACCAGGCTGAAATCCATTCTCCTAAGCCAAATCCACTAGTGAAACGGAAAAGCTAGGATTCCATAAAGGGAAGGGACTATAAAGCTCAAGCTCAGGATTAACTCTCATCATCTTTTTTGTAATGCAACAATGTAAAATGAGAGAAATGGAGGCTAAGAGAGCAGAATCGCTTTTTAAATGAAGATGTGCATTTTGAAAACTATACTGGTACTGCTGAAATGTTATCAAATGGAACAATTAATAAGCAAAACTTTTGGAAAAACTCAGGCATTGTCTTGTTAATGCACATAAAAGTCCCTTAGAACCTATAGGTATGCAATAAGGATGGCCTCTTAAGAAATGAATCCTGTTAAGACATAATCATATAATTTATAAAGGTAGCTCCATAATCCACAAAGCTTCCTCACTGGGAGAAGCTCTGGGCTCTGCCCACTTTGGTTTTAACTGAGCGACTACAGTGAACCTGCTGTCTGAGAAGGGTGATAGTCTGAAAGTTAGCTCTAGTCAAGTGATGCTATTGCAATCTTACCATTTCCTAATGTTCTCACATCTACATCTTCTCTTCCAGAGGAGGAAAAATTAAAACCTTTGCAAAGCAGACAAAGAAAAATAATCAGTAACATAATAACCCTAAGATTTTCATTCCCACCCTTTGGTAAAAACTTCATTTGTCTTAAACAACCTACAGGAGAATTCCAAGGGATAGTCATCCCACCTCTAATCCCAATCTCTAATAAAAATAGCAATGATAATAAAAAACACCATTTATTGAGCACCTGTCATATGCTGGGCATTGAGCTAAAATTCTGCATACATTATTTCATTTAATCTTTATTATAACCTTACGATGTAGATATTAAACAAAGGAACACCAAGCTTCTAAAAGGATAACTATTTTTTCCCAAGACCACATGATTAAATGGCAGAGCTGTTCCTGATGTCAAAGCTAGACCTTAACGGGAAAGCCAAAGGGAGAGAGCACTGTTTGGAGGAAGGCTCCACTACAAGCCTGGCCAGAAGCTTATGGTGAAAAATCTATCATCTTTCCTTTTTTCCTTAAAATAAAACAAAGCAAAAACATTTATTTGAAAATTAAACTCTATGAAAAGAAGAAGAGGGGGAAAGAAGGGTTTTAAAGCAAATTCTTTATGTTAAACAAACCTAAGCTGGGATCACAACAAAACTAGTGTTCATTCTAAGATAGATGGATCATCCTACACTAAAAAGCTGCAAATATTAGAATGGAAAATGGTGTAAAAAAAAGGGGCAGGGGTTATATGACAACTTCCTTAGATACAAAACTGAAGATTGCACCATCATCACCATAGGAAACATTACCATAGGCAGGCATATTATAAATGTTTCATATATGTTAACACTGTGAGGTAGGTACTATCATTATCCTCATTTTACTTACAAGGAAAATGAGACAGACAGGATAGGTAACTTGCCTAAGATCACATCACTGGTAGGTGATAAGGCCAGGATTTGAACCAGACAATCTGACTCCAGAGTCTCTTAACCACCACAAAAACAGGCTGAAGATCCAGACTCATGCACACAGGGAAAGCAAGACCAGTCTTCTCAGAGCAGGGATTAGAAAAGGCTGCTATGTTTGGAGTACTCTGGTCAGTCATTAGAATTTGGCAAAGTGTAAGATCTCTGAACACATATATTGGAGGCTAGAACTCAGACTCACACCCTGATTTATTCATTCAGGAACAAATATCTACAGTGGGCATGTGCAAGTCGCTGTGCTAGATCCTGGGGAAACAAACAAGATGGACACAGGGCTTACTGTTTGTGGAGGGATAAGGACTGTAATATAGTGGCTAGGGCTAGGACAGGAAGCATACAGGAACATTCCTGTACTAAGAGCACAGTTACAGCATGAGCTATGAGGTTTGTATTTATTCCTCAATGGTCCAGCCACTTTGGAGAGCACAAGATGAGGAAGAATGGGATAGCTGGGAAGAACAAATGGGAAAGGTGGAAGAAGGGTGAACACCATTTTGACAGCCACTTTTTTCCAAGAAAAGAGTCTGTATGTAAAGGTCCCATGTAGATTTTAGAAAAAGGAAGGTTAACAGGCTTGAAAAGTCCTATGAAAATGACACTGAAGATTAGCCCTCTTTCCTAGGATGTTTAGCTGTGAAGAAAGTAGGATTTCATTCTTCTTTCACCTCTAAGAAATCCCTTTTGCAAGCCAAGGTCAACACTTTGGGGAAATAGGCTCTGAGCTGTTGTCTGTCATGTACTGCCAGGGTCAAGTAGGCTCCTCTCTGCCCCCAGGGATCAAAGCTATGGGTCTCACCAAAAGTGGCAACGCAGGGCTGGCCAGGTAAGGGCTAGATATCCAAGGTAGGCCTAGAATTTAAGCTGTTGCATTAACACCTGAGAACTGGTCAGGTAAGCAGCCATGAAAGCTACAAGGTCAGGCTCTTCTCGAGGCAGAGAATCTAAGCCAGGCAAGGAGTAGGATTCTGTGAACCATTAAGTCCCAAAGAATCCTCCATTCCATGTTTAAAGTCCATTTTTAAGCTGTTAATAAAAACCAGAGTAACATCAGTAGCTTCTAGGCAGTCAACAGACTCAAGAGTAGCACTAAGTAGGGGTGGATAGCTAAATGGAGAGTTCAGAGTGGCATTTGGGAAGCTGAAAGATACTGACTCCCTGGGGCTGCGATCTGTCTTACACCTGCCCACCTCCATCTCCAAACCAGCCATAATATTAGGGCACCAGGGGATCCACAGTGACTGAGCCATAACCTCTCCCTGGTAGGGGTGAAGGGAATGAACAGGACACAAAGAGATAAGTCCACCAGTGACAGCTAAATCAGACGAGAAATCTCTAGTTCATAAACTAGCCCATAAAACTTCCACAAATTCTAGCCCATTAATAAGAAAGAGTTGCAGAAAGCAAGGCTCTTGAGAAGTCCAGAGAAACATTAAATCTAGACAAAGGAAGAAGGGACATTTATTATATCTTTTAGAAAAGTATTTCAAATTTGGACACTTCATTAAGGATATTTTTGGGGGTAACCTTTAACCCTTTATTCCTGTGCAATTATGGATATTAGCTGACAACAAAAGGAAAAGGAGTTACCATCTTAAGTATTAGGAAATACATGCTTAAAATTTGGTTGAGTTTTCTTTTTTTTTTTTTAAGGATTTTATTTTTAAGTAATCTCTACACCCAACGTGGGGCTCGAACTCACAACCCTGAGACTAAGAGTCACATACTCCACCGACTGAGCCAGCCAGGTGTCCTGGTTGAGTTTTCTAAATTCACATTATGCCTTGTCTTATCCCCCTAATTCTGCAAGTTCTTTGAGCTTTTTGCTCAAAGAAACAGATATTTCAAAAACAAAAACAAACCAAGTGCAAGAATGATCAGCAGTTCAGCAGTTTCGCTAGTCTGCAGTGGCCCTCATACCCAGGGCAGACAGAGATGCAACTGACAAATGGGCAGAGGCCAGATAATAAAGGCCTCAGAAGATCAAGTTCAGTAGTTTGGACTTTTATCCTGTATGTAGTCACTGACAAGTTTTCAGCAGGGAAATAACATGACAGATATTTATTCAATAAGTGAAATAATAAATGGGTTAGGGGAAAATTTCTTAGACACATTGACTTTGAGAGTGTGTCAAAGTTTACTACTCATTAACTAGGGGACTAGCAAGGGGATAATATGATGTGCCTGTTTAAAGTAACTGAGCAACAAGTTTGTATCTCCCATTTAGGAGAAGGAATCTTTATTTTTTATTTTTATTTATTTATTTATTTAATTTTTAAAAGATTTTATTTATTTATCTGAGAGAGAGAGAGTGTAGGTGAGAGGGAGAGGGAGAGAGAATCTGAAGCAGACCCGGGCACTGAGCACAGAGCCCAACGAAACTAAGAATCAGACGCTCAACCTACTGAGTCACCCAGGTACCCCATGGGGAAGGAATCTTTATATAAGTAGCTAGATTACTTCATATAATACTGCTTATTTTCAGAGAGTTGTAAACCATAGAGGTACAACAGTCAGAACCATCTTCCCGGAGCTATCAGACGTGAACCACAGAAAGAACAATATATGAGATGCACAGGGTTAGCAAATTGATGCTACCAATCAGGCATTTCAAACAACAGGTTTTATCCCCAACAAGGAGCCAGTTAGCACAGAAGCCCAGAGGTCTGCTTTTTCTCAAGCAGCTCTCAATAAATTTCCTCAGGATACAATTACAGATGCTAAACACACAGTTTGCTTCATTTTCAGTTTGGGTATAATTTTTTCCCCCTCAAATGGAAAATGAAACCAAGCTAATGTCATGAAAGATTGCAAGGGGGAAACATACAGCTGTTTCAGAGCCTCCCAACAGCCCTATTGGTAATGGGAGCTTCCTTGGGACCCAAATAATCAAAACTGAAAGCTTCTTGAATCATCTTATAGAAAGAGAGTAAGGTGGCTCCAAAAAGAGTTTGGAAGAGACTTTTTGTGCTAAAGCTTGATTTTCACTTCTTCATAACTTGGATAATTCTTATGAGATAACCAGTATGTAAATATTAAGTAGATAAAAACTCATGCCAATATCCCAGAGTCTTGACTGCTAAGATTTTGGAAAATGTTAGGTTGCTAGGGTAATTTCTTCTTTATTTAGTAAACAATTCTTTTTTTTTTTTTTTTTAAAGATTTTATTTATTTATTTGACAGAGAGAAAGAAAAAGCACAAGCAGGGGGAGCTACAGGCAGAGGCAAAGGGAGAAGCAGGCTCCCCGCCAAGCAAGGAGCCCGATGAGGGGCTTGATCCCAGGACCCTGGGATCATGACCTGAGCTGAAGGCAGACGCTTAACCGACTGAGCCACCCAGGGGCCCCTCAGTAAACAATTCTTAAAGACCCTTAAAGAGGGTCCACCAACCCAATACGCAACAAATTATAAGAAGGATATAGTTTAAAGTGCTCTTTCCTCTTGACAAGCCAGAGAGCTGGAAGGGACAGCCATATCTCTTCTCAATTATCTGCCTGCCTGCCATTCCTAAAGCAGGCCTGTCTTAAGGCTTTTCAGAGAGAAGGTGGATATCTAGTTGGTTCCTCAAAAAAAAGTGTTCTAATTATGCTAGGAGACCCACTTCAAAGTAAATCATTATTTACTGCCTACAGTTTTTCCTGATGTACAACATTATTTTCTGCAATTGAAATCTTAGCCCCTTTCCTCTAGTCTAATCCTAGGTGAAATCACAAGGCTCTATGCTGCCCGTGACCTGACAAACCTATTGAGACAAAGAAAACATAAACCTGACAGGATCTGACTCATCCCACAAACCTGGGCTCATTAATACCTGGAAAATTAAAACACAACATACTATCATTAGGTCATTGTAAAATGGTAGCTATTGATCTATTTTCTCTAGTCTTGAACTTTATCCCAGGATATTTTAGCAGTTAAGATGGGAGCTAGGCATTTGCCAGTGATTATTCTTGAACAAGCACTGGATGTGGAAGTTGTGTTTTAATTTCCTCATATTCCCCAAAAAGAGGCCAAGTCTGAGGTGTCCCAAGGTCAGAGCTTAAGTACATTCACTTAAAATAGTTTCAGTGGTTTTGCATTTGCCGAGTCATCTTGAGAAAGGAAAGAAATACTTTAAAGAAATCCAGGCCAAGTCAGAGGTGCTCAGGACATGGTGACCCCTGTTCATGGGAAGCTGCCAGGCAAGGAGCCCAGATTTGGTGGTGATTTACAAAATTTAGAAATCCTTCCTGCCACCTCCAAGAAACCTATTCATGAATGACAATGTATTTAAAATATGAATATTATAACACTTACTCTCTGCCTTGAATACTGCCAAAAGATGATCTGAAATTAATTCTTCCACTGAAGATTCCAGCTTCCTTTCTCCATCAATTATCCAAGGAGTCTGTGGTAAATTCCTGGAGTATTTATTATATCTCCCTGCCAAAGAAACATAAGGTAGCCTGGATGGAATGGTATCATTAACACATTAGGATAAAACAACTATTTATTGAGTGCCAATATCCTAGGTGCCATGACACAAAACAATGTTTAGCCTTCAACTAACAACCTAATTTGGGGAGCCCGCACAGATATATAAATAATTAAAAGATTTAAGGTAACAGTAGAAGAGATGGATAAAGACATCATATGAATCATCAAATGAACTCTAAAGGAATGCTCAGTGTATTTATTAATCTAATTGGCTGACTGAACAAGTAATATTAAGGAACACACCAAGGATCATTAGAAAAAAAAGAAAACCAGTAACTACTGCTTTTACACTTGATTAATAATACTTTTAATGAAATACTCATTGGTGATAATATATTCCAAAGAGTTCAAATACAGGAAATTTTGAAGTTTTTGTAATTTTAAAAAACCCCACAACCCTAACAGAACATGACTCACTGCTTTAAGAATAAAGCTGCACTAATGGCAGGTAGCTTTCATTACCATGGGGCAGGGTATTATAGTTGAGACTAGAGAGCAATTTCATTTCAGGTATTACTGTGAAATAGATGTAGCTTTCAAAACAAAAACTATCTGCTAGATTACCTCTTGGGAAGGTTAATGCAACAATTTTTTTTTTTTTCAGAAGCTCAGTCTTCAGTCATTTTGCAGATGATAAAATTATTTTTTCAAGTTCACTTTCATGCTCTCTGTGGCTAAGTTTCTCCTGATCGGTTTCGGGTCTCTGCATCTACCCATATTTCTATGGGTACTGGCCATCTCTGATGGAAACTATTAAAACCTGAGAAGTGTCATTCCCTTTGGCATGGCATTTTAAATAACAAAACTAAGTGGACCTTAAAAATGCCTATAAAACCTATTTAAAATAAGCTTGGCTATCAGTCCTAATTCTCAAAAGAGGTAACTAATCAGAACCTAATAATAAAAATAAGAAGGAAACAGAGGAGCCATTTGAGTTTTTCAGAAAGGAGAGTAAGTTGACAGTGTAAGTATATTCTAGACTAAATATTTTACCAGCCACAAAAACAGCACCATGAGCACACTCAATTTCAAGAACAGTGCATACAGCCTTTGGTGAGTTTGGAGGACAAGGAAACTGCCTGCAAAACAAAATAAATTTTACAGCTACTATTTTCCAGACATGATATCGAACCACATAACTAGGATGAATCAGCATTGTCTGAGACACACAGAGCCCGAGTCTCATGGACTAAGCCACTCCCTAACTTTAAGTTTCGGAATCATAAGGGTCTTTTAGGCCTCAAGTACGTTTTAATACGTAAGAGTGGCACGAAGTAAATCAGGGCTCTGCTACTACCTTTCACTTAGGAGGCCTCATGTTCCCAGATGATAATTTCTAACAACCTTGAGATTTGAGAGAAAAACCCATATTTATGAAGTGGAAGCCTCTCCAGGTTCTTTAGCCATTTTGCTATCCATGAACACTTGGTGCCAGCTTACAAAACCCTTAATCATTCGGGTAAAGTTGGTGTGCAATGACAGACTAGTCACAGGAGTAAGTCCCACCTGTAGGGAGGGTCTCTGCCATTTTTCTCTCTTTCTCTTTCTCATTCCAACTATGACCTCAGGGCCAGAAAAAGTGGAATGTGACAGACTCTGCCCTTTTAGCTAAGAAACTTCAATCTAACTGAAGACAGACAGGAAAGAGCAATATATGGCTTTATTTTCTGTCTATCATCTGGGAACTTCCAAAGCCATGGACTGGAGTCTACCTGTAAATGACTAGATATGGACTTACTCCAAATGCTTGGCTTGAAAATGTCACAGTTTCCTAAGATGTCTTAACAAAAAAATTACTTAGAAACTCAGGAACTATTGCTTGTAGAGAGTAGCTAACTTTACTTCCTAAAGTTTAATAGAAATATTTCCATTTTCTGAGGCTTGCTTTTAGTCAGTAAAATAAATAAAACCTTCTTCATAGCTTCATTGTTTGAAATTTATTCAAGGATATTCTGGAAGGATAACTATGATAATATTTTATTAAATAAGATGAACACAATGAGAATTAAAATATAAGCTTTATTGTAATTCAGCATATTTTAACAAGTGAAGAACTCATGAGCCTTTTTCTCCCTCTTCTGGAGATGGACAATACTCGAAATGCAGAATGAGGGATGTAATGGGACCAGCTTTGGGCTGGAGAGTCAGGAACCCTGGCTCTAAGTCCACTCTATTACCCAGTTGAAATCTTAGGCAAGTCAACTCCCTCAATGTGCTCTTCTAAAGATAAAGAAGTTGGCTTTGATTCATAAATTCAAATATCAGTTTGACAAACATTTATTGAACACTACTACATGCCAGGTACTGTACCAGGGAGTGGGGATATAACAATGACTAAGACACAATCATCATCCTTGAAATACATCCAGTTTTGTTTTAGAGATAATCCAGATTATCTCTAACGTTCCTTTTATTAGAAAATTCCATGATGCTCCCATGTGTCTATACTTCTACTTACTTGCGGAAATCCTCTTCTTTTATCTTATTCAATGCTTTCATAACTGCCATTCTAGTGAACACTGACTATATAAGGTAAAAATGAAAAGAAAAGACATTTTATCACCCAGGCAAGAAAACAAGAAAACATCAGAGGTGAAACACAGAACATGGTTGGAGAAATGACATCATTTTAAATCATACTTACAGGACAGAAATACTTAAAAGCTTAAGAAAATAAAACATTAAGCATTCATACTGTCAGTTCTCCCCACAACCCTCTTTTTCAATTTAGTCTATGTCCACAATAACAGGTAGATCTAGCAGAACAATTTAGCAGCAGGTTGCCAGGCTAAGAGGTAAACAGAGCCAACCAGCATGACCTGGCATCTAGCAACTCAACATCACTCACCAGCCACAGATAAATTAAACAAATTCACCATGCTGAATAGAAGGGCATCTACAACAAATGTCCCACACTGGGTTTTTTAAGACCAGAAAAGCCAAACCACATCATAGATACACTAGAATGAATTAGTGCGTATAAAATGGCTTTACTATGATCAATCACAGTTGTCTCTTCTGTTTGGAGAAATTACGCTTGACTCTAAAGAGGCACATGTAGGCATCTCAACGGTTTATCATCAATGGTTTTCTAAACCATATTTTGGAGAACCCCTAGGTATAGGGTTAAAACTGAAAAATAAGTGCCTATTTGTTAAGATATGAAATCTTAAGCCTGAAAGAATCTCAAAAGGTCATGTAATTTGCTCCCAGCAAAAAGGCAGGAAAGCTACATACAACTGTACTACTGGCCAAATGATGTGGTGTCGATGATGCTTTGACAAAAATGTCCTTATTCCATTATTTGGTGCTGGTACTTGTATATTTCCTCAAAAATAACAAAAACTGAAACAAGATCTTCAATATAAATATGGCTACAGGTTATTTGGACAGAGCTTTCCAACTGGTATGGCAAAGCAATAAGCTATAATTGTACCTAAGATGTTGAGCCCTCTAATTCACAAGGGCAGAGGGGCAGGACCTGGACAGAGAGAACTCCCCGGCCCATTGCCTCCAACTTAGAGCAACTTCATTTGTTGACCTCAGGGTGCTGGACAAACATTGTAATGTTCTAGGTGTATCATGATGTGAGAAAGGTGGGAAGGAGTGCTTTAGGCTTTGCCTGCATTTGTAAATTATTTCTGCACAGGGCATTCAACAAATGTTACAAACTCTCCCCCAACACCCACCCCGCACCCAGTTCCAAAAGGCTCGGCAATTAATCAAAGCCAAGAGTAAAGACCAATAGATGTATCTTTGGTAATATGCTTATATTCTTCTTAACAACCATAACAGCAAAATAGATGTTAGTAAAACTAAGAATGCCTGAGTCTCTGCATAAAACTAGCTAGGTATCTGTGGCATGAAATCTTGCCAATATCATTACTTTGCCATTCCCTCCTGGCATGGTAGAAACTAAAAATATATGCTAACTAATTTGCTCATTAATATGAAGACCAGCTCACATCAAATAAAGGGAAGTTTAAATAAAATGTCCTTTTGCAAATGTAGCCTGAAACAGGCCATATTAATTCCGATTGTCCTAAGTAAAATAATTTATTTTGGATTATATTTCTTAAATACCAATTCCTAGAAAATGGATATTAGACAAAAGTTTGGAATGCTAATAATTAACGTGGATTTTCCTCAATGAGTTAATTTGGGGATTAAAACCTAAAAGTTGAATTTCCCCCAAATGGGTAACAGTAACATCACTGAAACACTGGTTCTAAATTTAACAACACCAGGGAAACAACCCAGACAGCGACACAAATATGAGAATGTTTGTGTTATGACTTCCTAGCTAGAGGCAAAGGTATTCAGAGTTGAAAAAAAATTAAAATAAATGTAGCAAATGGAAATATTTAAAGAATGATTCTTAGTATAATACACTGCCAGTATTTCTAACGCATATCATTTTGCTGTTAATCTGAATATTCAGTGCAGACAAAACTCAATAAAGAATAAAAAGGAGGAATCCTTACCTGTTTGTTTTTGGCTGGCTTGAAGCAATCTGGGCATATTGCACGTCTAAGTAAAATTTAAGTTAATAAAAAAAGTTAATGAGTTTATTTTGGGGTGAATATAATTCAAATATATTTTATATATTTTAATATATATGGCTGCTAAACTCAATATATCAAGAGCAGACAAAATGAATCCCTATACCAGCTGTACTGGTATGCCTACACCCTTATATTAGACAGCACATTTTAAACCTACTAACAGACATGACAAGTTCTGATATGCTCATTACAAAGAGGAGGAACACTGTTTCATGAAAACCAAAAAAGCATTAACAATGTTACACAACTGACATTGTTGTTTATGTAGCAACTTACAGGAAGTGGCAATCCTCAACTGTTTCTGGGTGAGCAAAGACCACACTCACTTCAAACAAGCTCTAAAAATTATAAAGACAGTTTAAAAATGAGCAAAAGGAAACCAACATCTAACCACTTATGAATGGAAATAGAAATTAATTCTCAAAGATTGGCTCACAAACAGCGGCAAGGAAAACTGAAAATACTACTGTTCTCAAATCAGCTTGTGCATGGGGCAGCTGGAAAGGAAATAGTTTTGTTTTTTGGCTTTTTTTTTATTTCTAAAGCTCAATCACTAGTTATTCTACCAAAAAAAATTTTTTAACAAATTTTAAAATAAATTTGTATGATTTTTGTACATGTATATAAATTCAATGTGAAGATGAAAGAGAATTCAGGGAATTGGAAAGAGATAATTGTTCCTATGATTACAATTATTAGCAAGGCAAAAGCGTTTTATTCACATGCTTAAAATCTCTGTGGGAGCCTTTATTTTTTATTATTTATTTTGTGGCACTTTACTCAAACTTCTTAGTGGATTTGAGTTTTAAAAGCCTGGTGATGGGTATTGAGGAGGGCACATGCTGCATGGAGCACTGAGTGTTATGCACAAACAATGAATCATGGAACACTACATCTAAAACTAATGATGTAATGTATGGGGATAATATAAGAATAAAAAAATTTAAAAAAAAGAGATCTTAATTTTTATTATAAAAATGATACATACAAATTATAAAATAATCAAAAAGAATGGATTTTTTATCCCACACCACTGAGGTAGAACATAGTAATAGGTGTGTTTCCTTCTAGCCATTTTTATGAATATAAACATAAATGTATATACTTCTTAGGATATTAAACATACTTTTAGAAAATTGCTTTATTTAATTAATATTATGTTGTGGACATCTTTTCATCTCTTCAACTCCAGGGAGTGTTGGATGTTTAAGTTGTAAACTTTTCCATTATTAAAAAATGCTATAATGAACATCCTTGCATACAAAAAAAAAAGCACAATTTCATACTCTATGTACATTAATCTTCACAGAGAACAAAATTCCACATTGAGAAAAATGATAAATGCCATACCATGTAACAATTTTATCTTTTTTATTGAGTATTTCTGTATTTACTGATTGCATTGGATTGTCAACAGCATATTAGCTTCTCTAGAATCACAACACTGAATAGCTAAATTTTTTTTGCTCTCTAATTTACACAGTAAAATTAAAATTACAAGACATTGCTTTTACTCAAGAAAACTTCACTCATTCTGAATCTATTAGAACATTGTTGCATCTTTTGTTTTCTATTTTCTGTTCTCATTAATTCAACATGTAAAATTACTTATGCTTCAAAACTGAAGTTTGAGGTAAAAATATTTTGCATCAATGACTTCTCTAATTTCCAAAGTACTTTCATTACCTCATTTCCCCTCGGTATATGTGTGAAGTGGTTTTATTCTCTATTCTGTCAGTATTCAGTTTAAAGGAGAGAGTTTATTCTTACTAACAGAAGGAAACAGAGCTATATAATTCTGAATGGTAAAAAATTTTTTTAACTATTTAGCTTTGAAAGATGGTTTTGTGATTTTACTTGAATAGGGGTGTGTCTGATATTCAGGGAATTTCCTTCAAGCAAAATCATGAAGCAATGAAGTCATACTATAAAAATCTAATTTAAGATGAGCTGGGAATATATCTTGTTGAGCTCTTTCCTAAAATTTAGTCCATTCTGGAGACTGAGGCAAGGTCCATTATGGAACAGGGGAGATGGCTAGGTGTTCTGGTTTCAAAGGCAGTCTTTGCCTAAAATTAAATAGAGGGACTTGAGATATAACAAGGTGGGATGGGTTGAACCCATGCTCACTATAGTTGATTGATTGTACCTGAAAACAAGATTAGCCACAGATAACTGAATTTAAATAGTCTAGAGTTGGCTCTACACTTATTCACAGTTACTTCTATATTGCTTGGTATCAGTACATGTGTCTCTCCAATTAAACTATAGACATATTAAAGGCTTAGATTCATTTCTAATCTTTTCAAGTCAATTATGGTATACTACATTTGTTACACTCATAAATGTCTTAGATCATAAAGAAGTCTTAAAAAAATAAAATCTTTCTCAATTTAAGACTGTTAGAAATTAGTATTTTAAAAGCTTAAAAATTCTCCATTGGGTTATTTAAAGAGAAGATTATTTTGGCTAATCAAAACTCTACCATATAATGAAGTAAAACTGGTAAAACCAGAGAATGAAATTAACAATGCTGACGATGACCCAATACCTTTCCATCAATGGGAACACCCAGTTCCTCTGAAAACAGGGGTTGAGTTATCCATTTGTAGGCTTCTTTTAGCTGAACTATATCATTTCTTCCCAGCGACAGACTCTGTTTTCTGAATAACATAAAAATTAATTCACTGAAATGGAAAACTTTACTTTTTCTGCTAAAGGAAAGAATTCATGCAATTATTTAAAAATATTTATTGAGTGCCTACTATGTCCCAGGCACTTTTTACACATTGGATAGAAAGCAGAGAATAAGCAGACAAAAATTCCTCAGCTCCTGGACCTTATAGTCTAGTAGAATCAAAAAACAGCTTTTTAAAATGGTATATAAGACAGTTTTTAAGCTTCAAAGACAAAAGTATACTAATAAGTTTTTCTGAACTACCATTGCCAGATTCCAGGGTTATAGGTCAGAAGACAGAAAGATGGAATAGAAGGGATTGTTTATTGCTCAGGAACAATAAAACTGTGTATTACAATAATCTCATCCAGACTAAAAATTTTTACATCTACTCTCTTCCTAATAATGGGGTTTACTTTTGGGAAATCAACGTAAAAGCTATACTTTAGTGCTAAAGAAGAAACATAAAGTATCGATGTGCTGAAATGCTTGTCACTTTAATATCAGAAAAATGTCTGAATAAAAATCTGACATTCCCCCCAAATCTACTCATGAGCCAATAAATAGGTTTCAGGAAGTCCCAGTTATGATCTCTAGCTTTTAGTTTGTAACCTAAAATTGTTATAGAAAGGAACTGAAGGGGGTGCCTAGTTGCCTCAGTTGGTAGAACATGCAACTCTTGATCTCAGGGTCATGAGTTCAAGCCCCATGTTGGGCATGGAGCCTACTAAGAAATTTTTAAAAAAGAAAGGAACTTAAATAAAAAGAAAGAAAAGCATGTATGGTATGATATTATTAAAACTGCTTTGCTATGCTGAGAATACTATGATATCACTAATGAATTAACAAGTCCACACCATTCAAATCAGTCTTATGAACTACAAATCAGTTTTATGGCTATATACAGGGCTGCTTTTAACAAGAGATGTTAGGACCAACTTGTGAATCATTTCTTCTATGTCCAATTTTCACTGATAGAAATGACTACTTATATCAAACATTCGTTGTAATTTAATTCTTAAAGACAAAAAGACACTACTAACTGCAGGTAGAAAATAAAAAATAATTTAGCTAATGGCTAAATTTAATTGATCTAAAAAACATATAAAGACGACTTTCCTCTAAGAATACAAATTATGAAATGGTTGATGTTGTGGTTTAACAATAAAAAACTCAGATAAACCCTACATCTGACAAAGAATCAAATTACTCTCTACATTCAAGAACTTATTGAAACACTGTTTGAACTTCTTAAACTGTTCCTAATTCTCTGAATATCAGAAACATTTTAAGTATTTTAAAAGACTATCTTGATATTGTACCAACAGTTTAATGATATTTGCATAAAATAACATCACAGTTGAAAAGTAATTAATGTTTGAGAACTCATTTTAAAGGATAAAAAGTTGAAATGGAAAACACAAGAATAGAAAACTATTTAAACATTGTTTAGATTCTAGAGAGTACCAAGAGTTGCAGCAAAAAGCAATCCAAAATATGGGTTAAGACATTACTGGTATTTTAAATCCTTCATAGTCTTTGAAATAGATTTAGACATCTTAGTCCAATTAAAAAAAAAAAAAACCTACAGGTATTTTTTCTTTCCAGATTAAAGAACAGTTTTAGAAAGGGGTTAATAGACATCTTGGAAATCTTAACCTTCTACACAAGGCAAAAATTTAACACTTAAAATGCCAGATTTTTAATCCTGCAAATTCAATGTGCCTTAATAACTTTTCTAATATAATTTAGGGTAAATGTTTTCACAGAGGTTCTTAGCATATGCCTGATGGTCCTTTAGAGGCATTAGTTGTCATTGAGGTAAATTCAGTCCCAACTGAGTACTTAGTAACTGCATTTCCCTCTCTCCTGTGTCAGATAACTACTGATGAGGATGTCAACTGCAACCACTTTTGCTATAGATACAATATGACAACCATTCCAGAGGAAAGATGAGCCAAAATATCCAAGCACGATTAATTTTTCTAAATTCCTTGAATCAATTCTTTAATGATTTCTCCACAATATTTTGAATGTAGAATGAACTACGGATACTGAGGGAAAAGATTAGTATTCTGTATTTCTTCTGTGCCAATATCTCTATATTGAACAGGATCTTTTGGAAGAGCTAAGCTTAGTTTAAAATTCTTCAATAAAGAATAACAACAGCAACTCACAACCAATGTGGATGGAAACTGGAAACATTTAGAAAATAGCATGCCTTGACTGTGCTAAAAAATTTATCAAACATAGGATCAAATTTTATTATGCCAGAATCACAAGCATTTGAGACTAATTTAACATAACCTAACTAAACCCCAAAACCTTTGCTAGATATATAGCTATTACCCTTTCAGAAAAGCAGATGTGAAAAAAAAAAAAAAGGCCAAATCAATTACTTTTTTTATAAATCACTTAACCAAATATAAGATTCAAATACAGAAATCTATACTTCTCTTTGTGCTTTTCTCTCCAGAGTGCACAGGAAACTTAAGTAGTCATGTGGCCCTTTTTATATTGGTATAGAATTTTTAGTTTCAAAATCCAAAAAAGGTCTGGAAAATTAAAGACTTTTTTTTTTTCTTAAACCAGTTGGCAAACAAACACTGACTTGAACATGTGAGGCTGTTTAGAGACTTTGTGTATCAAACTTAATGTGAATATTTATGTTTCACTGCAGAATTTCACTGCAGAAATCAAACACATTAATGCGTTTGATTATAGAGTACCACCTCAGACCATGGAGGGGAGGGGTATGTTATATATGGTATTTATCACCATATTACATTTCTAAAATCTAAAAAAATTCTAAATTCCAAAACACATTTGGTCCCCAAGGGTTTCAGATAAAGGACTGTGGACCTATGTTTTACACGTTTTATCTATGTATAAACTCACTGTTGTTCTGCTTTAAATAGGATTTTACTTTGTATCTTTTATAGTATAGTTTATAATTTAGTTTCTAAGACTAGTATAAAATTTATTCTTTTATAATAGCTTGCCAAGCTACATTATATAAGTGCCTAATGTAAAAATATAAAATACGTATTTACATTCAATGTTAAATCTACAAAAAAATGAATCCACTTTAATAGACTACTAATAATGTGCCATGCCAATAAACTAATTTAACAAGGTTGACACCCAAACTCATATAATAAAATTTTTCTCTTTCTTTCAATTTCTCTAGGAGCTAGTGAAGTCACTCTAAAAAAAGAGATAGTAGTAGTAAAAGCACTTTAAGAATCAGGTAGCTTATATTTAAATGGTAGAACAAATTCCCTACCTAAATTACTTACCCCATTTCCTGTTTTACCAGCAACCATGCAGCATGCTGTAGGCAATTTAGTCACACCCAGAAGAAGAGAAAAGGGGAAAAATGTTCATTGAAATGAAGTTCCAATATCATTACTAAAGTGCTTAACTAATTTGCTAATCAAACTCTCCTTTTTAGGGGAGGAGTTAGTGTTCAGAAATGTGGCAATGACCTCATTCTCATTTAAAATCAGAAATGAGGTAAGATGCCACTTTGCAGTGCTGGGTTGCTTGTGGCCTAGGAACAGATTTCTATCTCATTAATGAGGTATAAGTGTTTAACATGAGTAGCTCACTTTTTTTCTTAAAGTCTCTTAGTATTTCACAGAGGAAGGCCAAAAGTGAACGAAGACCTACTATGTCCCCCAAACAGAACTGAAGGCCTCAGTTTTTTTGTTTTCATTTTTTTAATAGGGCTACCACATTTTTAACTCTAATTAATGATGTCCACATGTAAGTGTTTAGAAGTAAAATGTACCAACATCCGTAACTCACTTCGGAATACAACAAAAACTAAGATGGGTGGATGGATAAACTGATGACAAAATACATAATAAAGGAAATACAGAAAAATAGTAACAATTATAGAATCTAGGTGGGTATACGGGTGTTCATTGTACAATTCTTTCAACCCTACTGTATGTTTAAAAATTCTCATAGTAAAATGTTAGAGAAAACGTTCTGGGAAGAATTAATAAAAAACTTAAAAAGTTGCTAAAATGGAGATAACATTCACAATTATGGTTGTTATAAGGATTAAATTAAATTCATATAAAATGCTTTACATAGTAAGTGTGTGATACTAAGATTTCTCAGTTTGCCAGTAGGCTCCCAAAGCTGTCACTTTACAGAAAGCTAATGACATGTCCTATCTCATTATATAGCATTTTGTGAACATGACAGAAGCATACATGTGTAAGTCAATAAAATACCATATGTAGTCTCTGCATCCGCCTGTCACAAAAGTGGCCATTCATTATCGCTCACATCTACCTCAAGACCTGCCCCCCCCCACACACATGTTACAGTTCGTATGTAGAATCCTGTCCTTTTAAACTTCAAATGACCAGTGAGGCACTAGATACCTTTAAAGACTTATTTGGAAATCTTAGGTGTATTACATTGTTCAGACATGAGTCAAGCAGAATAAATTAATTACTGGCCAAGTAAGAACTAGAATTGTTCCCAATGCCTAAACATCTCATCAGTACCTTCTGATTCAGTAGTTTGTTTACTTTGCTAGTTCAACCTAATGCCACTGACAGCACGACAAGACCCCATCCTTCTTTCCTCCCATTTACGCAAGCCCTCTTGGAAAAGTATAGGGGCATGGTAAAATACACCAATTACTAGGAGTCAGGAGACCTAGTTTTAGGCTTTACCAAATTTCTGGCACTCAGTTTCCTAATGGGTAAAATGAAAGAGTTACACTAAGATGAATGTAACTTAAACTATTCTGGGTGGCTAAAGGTCATCATTAATGGGTATTAGTATACTATTTTGGAATAGAGGCTATTAAGACTTGTAGGACTTTAAGATCATAGAAAAAAGTGAAAAATGATCTCCCAAAGCTGAAACCTTGTAGTCCATATTGCCCCACCTTCCTCCAGCCTCCATACTTTAAGAGATCAATAAATATTTGTTTTCTCATCCAAAAAGGGATATTAATACTCCCCTTGAAGGGAGACTGTGGGGATTCAATGAAGTTGTATATGTAAAGAACCAAGTAAGATTCCTGGCATGTACTTAACAAATAGTAACTACTATTGTCATTTTTGAATTAAAACCTTAACTGCAATTCACAAATGATAAAATTATTATCCCTTTTTTTCCCTTAAAGATTATTTATTTGAGAGAGAGAGCAAAGCGAGCGAGAGAGAACATGAGTTGGGGGGGAGGCAGGGGCAGAGGGAGAGAGAGAAGACTCCTTGCTGAGCAGAGAGCCCAACGTGGGGCTCAATCCCAGGACCCTGGGATCATGACCTGAGCTGAATGCAGACGCTTAACCAAATGAGCCACCCAGGTGCCCCAAATTATTATCCCTTAAAAGATTTACAAGACTTGGGCGCCTGGGTGGCTCAGTCGTTAAGCATCTGCCTTCGGCTCAGGTCATGATCCCAGGGTTCTGGGATCGAGTCCCACATCGGGCTCCTTGCTCGGCAGGAAGCCTGCTTCTCCCTCTCCC